AGATAGATGATAGATAGATAGATAGATAGATAGATAGATAGAGAGATAGAGAGATAGATAGAGATAGATAGAGAGATAGATAGAGATAGATAGAGAGATAGATATTCAGATAGATAGAGAGATAGATAGATATTCAGATAGATAGAGAGATAGATAGATATTCAGATAGATAGATAGAGAGATAGATAGATGGATGGATAGATAGATAGATAGATAGATAGATAGATATTCAGTTTATTACATGTTCAGTTAAGTATAGATATTTGACTGCAGAATTCTGTATTTGACCAAACAGAATAAATGTAAAAATGTCTCATTTGAAAGTCCCCAAAAAAAAAGAGGAGAAAAAATTAACTAACTTACTTTTAAGGGAGTAATATTTTGTTAGGGTATCTGAACTTTGTCCCCCACTGAATACTGTATACTAATAACAGTTGCCATGGTAACAAAAACTGACTGAAGATTTGCTTGCAGAATCTGCATCAGCAGGTAGAGTTACGGTAGTGTGTGTGTGTGTGTGTGTGTGTGTGTGTGTGTGTGTGTGTTTTATGGGAAAGATGAATGCAGGATCATATGGCTTAACAGAGCAGGGATCCCTCCTTAAGAACAAACACTTGATCACTTAAGACATCAAACAAACGCTGATGGTTTAGGGCCACACACTCACGAGTCACGCCACTAATGAGACGCTTCCCGCTCTCAGTCATCAAGGCTGTGTTTGACTGTGTGAAAAGTACATTCAGGTTTCCTGGAACTACATACCAAACCACTCCACCAACACCAGTGTAGCTTTGTGGTGGCACGTTTTGCACGGGCAAAGCTCACGCTGCCTGCAGAGAATGGCAGGATATTTGTTGCACTGTTATGCAGTAATATAGTCCTTTAGGCATCTCAGAAATGTCTTCTGTCCTCCTTTAAGGTGTACAAATCCACCGGTCCTGATGGGACAGTCGGGAGAGGACAGAGGATTCACATTCAGCTGTGGGATACGGCCGGACAGGAGAGGTCAGACGCAGACCAGCACTGCTTTATAACATTCTGAGTCCGAGAGGATTCATGTGATGTTCTGGCTGAGTTTTCTCTGTCTTCTCCTCTAAATGCAGATTTCGGAGTTTGACCACAGCGTTCTTCAGGGACGCCATGGGCTTCCTGTTACTCTTTGACCTCACGAATGAGCAGAGCTTCCTTGACGTGCGGAACTGGATGAGTAAGCCCAGATTCACCATAATGAACATATGACACATAAATATGCACAGATTTGTTTTAATACAGTTGCTATTCATTATTTAAATTGCTCTTGTTACCACATGTAATGAGCAGCTTCTTGCCTTTTTTTCATAAATTGTTTTTTTTTCTTGGCACAAATTATCCTCCCACAACTTATTTTTTAATCATTTTATTTTTAACTAGCAGCATAGAGAGATTGCAAAATAAAATAAAATAAAATTAAGAAAAATAAAATAAAATTAAGAAAAATTAAATAAAATAAAGTAAAATAAAATAAAGAAAAATAAAATAAAATAAAGAAAAAGAAAATAAAATAAAGAAAAGAAAAATAAAATAAAATAAAATAAAGAAAAATAAAAGAAAATAAAGAAAAAATACAATTTATTTTATATTATTTGTATTTAATACATACAATAAAATTTTTAACTAGCATGTTCTACTACTAGTACTAAAATAAAATGAAAATATTTTTAATATATATATATAATTTTATTTTTTTAATTTTACCTAGCAGCTTACAGTGGTTGTACAACTAAATAAAAATAATATTAATAATAATCATAAATAATTTTTGAAATAATTATTTAATATTATTTTTAATTAATTTTTATTTTTAACTAGCAGCATAGAGTAGTTGCCAATCTAATCTAATCTAACACAATAATTTTTTAATTGATAAATGCATTTAATAAATTTTTTTACCAAGCAGTTTAGAGTTATTGCCCAGCTAAAAATAATATTAACAGCAACAAAATAATAAATAATAATTATTATTATTAATATTTCGGCACGCCACTTTAAGCTGCTTGATGTTGTTGTTGTTGTTATTATAAATAATTGTTAAAATAATAATATCGAATGATTCATTCCTGTGATGTTTCGGGCAGGTCAGCTGCAGACGCATGCGTACTGTGAGAATCCCGACATCGTCTTGTGCGGAAACAAATCAGACCTCGAGGACCAGCACGCGGTGAAAGCGGAGAGTGCTCGGGAACTGGCGGAGAAATACGGGTGAGAAACGGCGTTCACCCGAGACTCGTCCTGTATCCGTGTCTGTTTCTGAACGTGACGTCACACGTGACCTCGACTGCCCCAAAAATCAGAGCACTTCAGGACAGAAACACCTCACTATCGATTCAAAGCATTCAATTGGTGAAGCTCCTTATGAAGTTCAGCTGCTGACAAGTTGGTTGGGATGTCATCACATGACGATGATTGAACTAATTAGATCGTGCTGATATATTAGTATCAGTATATTTACATGAGACACCGGGTTGTGTGATCGAGTTGTAGAAATGTTAGAACCACGTCACAGGTGAGGGGATTTACTGGCATGTTGGAGTCTCTTCTTGATGTAGGTCTTCACACGTGTTCTCAGGGTGCGGGCGACTCGAAGGATGTTTGGTTTAAGGGCTGTGTCTGTAGCGTGTTTGCCTAAGATGAGGGCAGCTCTCGTTAAATGTGACACGTTAAGATGGCGGTATACCGAAAAACTAATATTGACTGTGTTCATGTGAATCTTCCGTTTAGACAAGCACTCTGCAATGCAGAATCAGCCTTTTGAGGCATCTGAGAAGGTTTCGGCCTCATGAATACTTCGGTGTGATTACATGAAAATTCTCTGCTCAGCTAATATGAATAGTGATTCTGTCGTGTTAGGTCTTGTGAGATCAAGCAGATCGACAGGTAAAATATTTGTCGACAGTTCAGCGTTCAGTGAGTTTGCAGTGACTCATCTGTTGAATGTCATCAGATTGTTTATATTCTGTTGACTGATCTTCACATCTAAACTCATCCAGGTGTGTCTTTTGTACAAACACTGATAATACATTGATGATTATCAGCAAATCAGCAAATGATTTCTGAAGATCATGTGACACTGAAGACTGGAGTAATGATGCTGAAAATTCAGCTTTGATCGCTGGAATAAATTACAGTTTATAACATAAATTCACATAGAAAACAGTTAATTTAAATAATAATAATATTTCACAATTTTACTGTATTTTTGATCAAGTAAATGCAGCCTTGGTGAGTAGAAGAGACTTCTTTATTCCAAACATTCGATGTGGTAGTGCAGGTATACCAAATGTTTCCATTAATTTTATTTTTTTACTTTCTAATACTACTACTACTAATAATGGTAATTATTATACATGAAAAAAAAAAAAATATATATATATATATTTTTTTTTTTTGAAATACCAGTTATTTAATATTATTTTTAAAATAATTTTATTCAAGTAGCAACTCGAAGCAACTGATCATCATCTAATAATAATAATATTTTTTCAAATAATATTTTTGGTTTTATTTTTAACTACTAGCTTAGAGTGGATATGAAAAAAAAATGCTTAGAATTTGTTTTTCTTGGTTTTGCTGTATAAGAGATTGATTTTCAGTTGACATGCTGAGTGTTCATGTGATCATGAGAGAAGAATGTAAAAGCTGGTGCATTTGTTTGTTTATGTTTATGAGACTGCTTAATTTCTCAAACCTAGTGAGCTGCCTATGTAGGCAACATTTTAAGGGCTTATCAGTGCGGAGGCTGTTCTGCAACAAAACGATGCTGTCTTCTATCACATGCATCCTTTACCTGCATTTAAAAAAAAATTCCTCTGAGATCGTGAAATGTGTAGTAATATACTTAGTACTAAATGAAATGCTTCAATAAAAGCAGCTGGCTAGTGATAAATTGACTATTTTACCCAACATTTTTATGCCTCGAGTATTGCATTGATAGTTTAGCCAGTGCCAAAAGTCTATTGGAATTGTGGTTTGTGCTCTAATCTCTGGCAGAGTCCCGTACTTCGAGACGAGTGCTGCGAACGGTGAGAACGTGAGCCGTGCCGTGGAGGTTCTGCTGGATCTGATCATGAAGCGCATGGAGAGATGTGTGGACAAATCCTGGATCCCCGACGGGATGGTTCGCACCAACGGCCACAGCACCAGCAACCTGGCAGAGCCGCGTGACGCCGAGCAGAGCAAGTGCGGCTGCTAATGCCGTAAGAATCATTCCATTCAAGACGAAGCCAAGGCTCTCTGATCCTTTTCATTAGTACATGAAGAGGATCAGAGACCCTGCACTGTGTTAAACTGTTGCTTTTTTCAGAATGGATGGACTAAAGCCACCTAGATTCAAGTCTTCACGTTTTGAGAGCACTTTACACCAAATCCTGCATTCAGAAGCCTTGATGCGTCAGATTAGATGTTTCAAGGGCTTGATT